TTAAAACATGACATGAATGACATCTTCTTGAATCTTTGTTTTGTTCTCCGAAATGTATATAAATAAAATCTTATATATTTTTAGATAAAAAATTTAAGATTACCTATTTAATAAAACTCATCCAAACTTCTACTCATAAATTTAATTATTATTTGTATACAATTGTTAATATGTAAGAAAATACACGTACAAAATGTTTATACTATTGGTAATACACTAGTCTAGGTTGTTTGACTAAAACAATGCAACCATTATCCAAACTAAAGAATTTGATTCGAAGCTATCTCCTAATAGAGGGAGGCTCAATTAGATTTTGTTGTAAGATTCGACCCTATCAATTTGAATAGCGTTCTCCAACTATAAATATTGAACTCTAAAGTATTCACGAGCAAAGTAAGTTTGTTGAAACTATCTATAAAAGTGTTCCAAAGTGAGTCGTGGAGAAGATTTGCCTTAAAATCTAGTTCCAATTAAGGATGTCAATGATGAAGAAGTGCAAGCTATTGGAAGGTTTGCCGTGGAAAATTTCAGAGGTGGTAGATATAATTTAATCTACAAGCGTGTGGTGGTCTTTTCAGTCCCATATAGGCTTTGACCCCAAATTTTATATTATTGTGATAGAAGCTATAAATGACAACAATATTCATTGGTCAGATATTGCAATTGTGAAGAAGTTCCGTCATATGCATGGGATGCTACCGCCATCCAATAAACTCTTATCTTTTGGAGGAATAATTCATCAAATTCCCTCTCCACAAGTGAATTCATCAAATTCCCTTTCCACGAGTAGTATAAGCTCTTATCTCTTTTAAGGAATTCATCAAATTCCCTTTACAATAAGTCCTCTCTCTATGTGCTTGTGGGACATTACTCAGCCATAATGATATAATAATTCTTTTAAGGAATTCATCAAATTCCCTTTACAATAAGGAATTCATCAAATTCCCTTTACAATAAGTCCTCTCTCTATGTGCTTGTGGGACATTACTCAGCCATAATGATATAATAATTCTTTTATAAGTATCTTTTCTTTTTCTCTCGTACCCACCTTATACATAACATGTTAAATTAATTCATACTTCAAAAAATAATTTCTCCCTTTTGGAGATGCGGGGTATCGATCCCCGTACCTCTCGCATGCTAAGCGAGTACTCTACCATCTGAGCTACATCCCCACAATTTTTGCATCACAAAACCCTAAATTTCCCGTCATCAATAATAGTGAAAATGAAGAAATATTGCTACCCAACATGTCATGAATAGGGAAAAATTGAAAAGAAATAATATATTTAATAATGGATAGTCTTATTTTTGGAGATGCGGAGTATCAATCCCCATACCTCTCGCAAGTGTATGAAGCCTTGGGATGAGATGTTAAGAAAGACTATGAGTACTAAGAGCATGGTGGTAAGTAAAAGATGTCGAATATGAAGTCCTTAGAAGAAGAGATTTAGACATAGGGGCATTTCAAGAATTGAACTCAAAACCTCTTGCACCCCTAGTGAGAATCATACCACTAAACCAAATGCCTTTTCTTGAACACCCAATATTTTTAGCTTCTACTCAAATATATTTTTCTCTTAGTAGTTGAAGGGCTATAAAACGAAAAGTTGAATTGTTATAATATACAAGGGTTATCAAATAAACCAACAACCCAACAAAAGAAACAAACTAATCAATTTTGGTTAGATTGATTCGGTTCAGTTCATCAGTTTGTTTGATTTAATTTTTCTATTTTGCCTCGTATGACAAGAAAATAAAGTTGTATTGAATGCACCTTAGTTTCATTTATGACAAACTCATATGAAACATAATTGCATTAATAGTACTCAGAGTTTGAGTCTATAAGCATTTCATGAACTTCAGTGCAATTCAAGCTTCATTAAAGATGAGATGAACTTTAGTTATGTAAGGGAACTTTAAATTGCTTCATGTGGAGCTTCAATTACTATATGCTAGTTACAATCTTTAGGATTGACTAATTGGACAGGAATTCATGGATTTAGGGAAATTTTTGTGTAATTATCAACTACAACTTATGTTTTCAAATTATTAGGACATAATTTAGGTAGTTATTTTTATGAGTCGTAAACTTGTTTCTTTGCATAATATGGATTTAGTTGAGCTATTATTATCGATAAGATGGAGAAAGAAATTGTCTTTGAATTGACTAATAGACCTAGGTTCATCGTTGTTGTCTTTTAACTTGTGATTTTGCAAAAAGCTTAACTAATATGAACTGTCATGTCACAAGAACTTTTAAATCAAGAATATACCCTACACATCATTCAAGATGGCAATAAAATGGAGTTAAATTGAACGCACTTTAGTTTCATGTTTGGCGTGTTCAAGATAAAACATAATTGTATTATTGATATTGAGCCTGGAGTCTATAAGAATTTAATGATCTTAAGAGAAATTCCTGTTTTATTAGAGGATACCAACTTTATTTAAGGTACTGGGAGTTCAAGAATCTCGATTTGAAAATGGTTAAGGAATAGTAAGATTTGAAAGTTTTGAATTCTATACCAAATTTGTACCTAATTATTTCTTTTTATGACTAATTATAAATTAAGAGAAAAATATTTTTGTAAAGATAGATTTATCTCTAAAGCTTTCGTGACGAAACCATGTTTAGACTAGCAGTTTAAAGTCAGGAGATGCGGTCACAGGTGTGATTATTTTGGATGGGTTCGTAATAGAACTTACCGTTGAGATGACGGAGCCATCAAAGGTTGTGCACTCACAGATGGGGTTGTTATGTAGCGTTAGTCTGTCTTTGTGTTTGAGTCTTTTTGTACTTTTTTTTTTGTTTTTTTGTAATTGTATCTCAAACCCTTTTTTTTCTTTTGTTTGGATAAATTTGAACAACACCGTCTTATAATTTAATTTAATTTTATATTTAATGTTGTATTGTTTTCTCAATCTCATTTTAATTTTACACCATTTTCTTATTTTATATTAATTTACTTTTATTTTTATTTGTTTTCACTCTCAATTTTAATTTCTATTTGAGTTTTGAACCCTTGAAATTTGGGTTGTGACACATTGGTACCAGAGCAGTCAGATTTTAAATTATATAGATTTTTTCTTAGGATAAAGAGTCATATATCTCTATGACTCAACTCGATTTCATGTCTCTCCGCGACCAAGTAAGCAGTCTAACCCTATTTTGTAGTATATGATATGTTGTAAAACTTGTATGAATTTATTGTATGTTTTGATTTTCGTGGTAGTTATAAAATGTCTATGGACGTTAAAGAGTGAACGTTAACTATATAAGACAATACTGGATCAACGTTATAGTGTCTAGATATGGTGAGGAGGAAAAGAGTGGCATGAGATATCTGACTAGCCTTAGGAAAACAGAGAGTTGTCGTTGCACAGTGCAAGACATCTAATCCATGAAATTTTGGTACTAGAAATGAAGAAACTGGAGATGGAACCCAAACGTCTGTATGGACCATTTCCAATCGCACTTTCTTTGGTTCCCTGGCAGCGTCAACCAGATTAACCCTACGACGTGACAATCCTTGAGCTTCCACTCCTCCGTGGTCATGGTATCCAGCTTCACCCCCCAAAATGGGTTCCTGAATATCTTTCTCGTATAGATAATCTTCAATTTGCATCTTCTAGAAACTAATATCGAATCCATCAAACTTTTCAATTCCAGTCTTTGAACTTTCCATCTTCACAGATCGTGGTGAATCTCTCCTTGCTCTGATACTAATTATTAGAATAACACAACAGCGCACACACTTGATCTAAATGAACACAAAGAACATGATAGAGAAAATGTAAGAAGAAATATTGACTAATGGTTTTGTATTAATGACTTCAGGTATGCAAAGAGAGGATATGGAGAATGAGAAATATACATTTAGGAAGCACTGACTAATGGGTATACATATGATTTCAGTTTATTATATATAGCTTCACTATATGTAACCGCCTACTATATATAATTATTTAATATATATTTCTCTATCAGATTTTTACTATAAATTGTCAGCCTTCATATCCAACATTCTAGAGCCCAAATAGTCAGGGATTGACATCCTGCTAGAACACAAAGTCATTTACATGTCCCTAGCAAAATGCCTAGTAGTAACGGAGTCTAACCCAACGATCATTCAGACAAACATCCATCAACCAAAAGGGGTGAAAATGATGACGATAGTACAGTTGAGAAAGAATCTTAGCCATGATGAATCTACACTTGCTGCCATTGTTGTATTTGAAAAGGGGGAGCTCAAGTGTGCCAACCTCAACAAAAACTTTATTGCCACTACATGAACACCATGACCCAAAACAAGAAGGTCAGATATTGGGTTTAACCCTACTAAGAGAGATAAATCACAAGATTAGTTTTATGTCACCTACCACAAATAGATGTCATACAGCTCAACTTGAGCTAGTTGAATTCTACAAATAGCAAAATGGCATGTTCACAGTCGGGTTTATTTGACCTGCAAAGGTTTTTGTCAGTGATCACTCAAATGCTTGGCAAAGACACCAAGCCAACACCTCTACTAAAGAAGGGAGACAAAAACAAACCACTAAAGCAACACATGCTCACGCAGAAATACCATCCAGACGGATGAAGAGAAGGGTCGACCACGATAATTTCAAAGCAAATAGAGAGTTATGATAAGTTAAGGTCAGATCAACTTTGAGTTCAAAG